GTCCAGAATCAAACTTGCGCCTTGACCTAAGTACGTCAATAACAAAGGAACATAAACAAATAGTGGGAAAGATAATTGAATCGACCTTCGATTAAAATGTCCTAGGTCCGCAAACACTGCTTCAGATCCAATGAATACTAGTAAAACACCACCGAGATGACCAAAACCTCTTTCTTTAATGTACATAATAGCATAGTAAGGATTGATAGCTTTCAAGATTCTTGGAACTCTGGATATATTAACAATGCCAATCACGGAGAGAGAAGTAAACCAAATTGCAATTATTGGAGAAAATAAATTTGCGACTTTTCCTGTGCCAAATCGTTGACCCATGAATAGTATAACAAAAATAAAACTTTTTTTTTTTTAAAGAAATAACTTAATTGAGATCACTGTGAATTTATGATACATGAGTTAAATATAGCTTAATTACCAGCTCGTGAAAATAGTAATCATTTTTAATTCTTCGTCTCCTATATTATCCATTTTTTCCAAGGGAATTACAAACCCCTCAATGGCCGAAATTACCGATATAGCAGGAGTTAACATGCCATCACTTATTAACAATGAAGAACTAAGCATGACAACTATTATTAACAAGTTTTGTATGAATTTACTACGTTCGATAAAGTTCGGAACTCCAATTATTGACTCGCTTTTGTAATTTATTATATTTATATCATCTAATCTCGGAGCCTCTGCACCTATAGAGAGTCCAGAATGTCTAAATAATACCAAATTTTAGAGAGATCGAATTGATGCACCATCACGTGACTAAATATAATTACCTTATCAATAATGAATATAGGGCGAAAGGGCCACCTTCGCCATTATCATTTGCTAGGACGACTATGAAAATGTATTTGATCAACGATATAATAGTCTGAAAAAAAGGATGATTTGTTAAGGTTGAATATTAGAAAACGAATTTATTTAATAAAAATAATTTTTATTTTGTCTTTGAATTGATTAGAGTACCTGAAGCGATCAAATCGGCAATTTGATCGGCTAGCAGTCACATAGTCAGATATTCGTATAATTTAAAAACAAACTTACCAATGACCAAATGATCAAAGACACGACGCCTAAACAATTTAAGAAAAAAAAAAAATTAAAGTTAGAACCAATCAAAAGTGAAAGGTCAAATTTATATTCCTGAGGTATTCTTTAATTATGTTCTGTATTGAAAAAAAGTATATGTATATAATTATATATACTTTTTTCGATAATACACGTTGCAGATTAAAATGAAAATTGGGCTCTCTTTTAAATTTAAAGAGTGATATGAACCAAAAATCGATTAACTACTTAGTTGGTATAGCTGGACACGAAAAAGGTTATATTCATGAACTTTTTATATTTATCATAATTAACCACGAACGTGAAGACTTCAACACTAATACTACCCAATCGGATTAAATGGTTAACTATAATCGAGTTTTAAAAAATATTCGACCAGCTAATCGATTACGTTTTTTTTTGCACTGATTCATAACACTACTTTAAAGCCCACTTATACTCTTCTAACGCTGAAAAAATTAATAAATTA